TTTACTTGATTGTATTTGCAAGAGATGGGTTAGATTTCTTTGGTGATGGGTAAAGCTCCTTGCTAATTGTTTGTCACATTTGTGATATAAAATGATGAAATATAAACACCACAAGGCACCATTTGGTCCACTATAATCTTGTAACTGCTCCTACTTGAAATAAAAAGACTCAATAAGCTCAGATAAAAACTAATGTCAACAAACTCTTTTAGCAAAATTAACAAAAAATGGACTCTCATAGATTCTTAAATGTTTATTCATGGGTTGCTTTTTGGGGTGTCAACTTCACCAAGAGAGCATTGTTATGATGGTGCTCAGTATCAACAAAGTAGAAATTTCTGTTTGCTTTGAACGTCACAAAAGGCCTATTGGTTTTTGGTGGCCTAACATCAATAAACTTGATTGTTCTTAGTACAACTACGACATCATCTCAACCTCAAAACTGTCAGAACCAGGTTGCCATCTGAATTTGTGAATGTAAGGGCTTACAACCAATGAAGCACTGCAGTGGTGGAAGCACTTAGAAATATGACAAAAGACGCAACAACACCCCTTATGATAGGTCCCTAGTGACATCATGGTGAATCCCACAGTTGAAATATTGTTTGATAATCAAACCTCATACTTCATGGTAGCAGGGAATGATGTATCCTGCCAACCAAATGACAACAATTAAAACATAAAACAAATTCCCATACAATCATTAATGACGTCTAAACCTCACTAAATGAAAAACTTGAAACAAGCAATCACATGTCAAAACCATTTCCTCGTTCAGTGGTGCATTCTCAAATAACCTCATAGCCACAGGTAGAATGCAAACTCATGAGAATGCCAAGAGCATGCAATTATTAACTAACAACAAAAACAAATATCAGTTATAGGAAGCAGCAACGCATGCATTCCTATGATCTTTGTTGGCATGTAATCCTCTTGCAAAGCTATCCACAAAGAACACCTAGTGCACATTCTTATAGATTGAAGAGTTTGGCTTTTCCACACCTTCAAGACCCAAGAACACACTAAAATCCCATTCGGATACTTGAATTGCAAAAAAAAAAAAAATGAATCACAGAAATGAACTCTCAAGCAATATAGGAATGAACTCTCAAGCATGACTTCATATACCATGTAAACCAAGACATCCTTCCACTACTAATGCTTAAAACAATTGGTATGCATATAAGAAACAACCAAAAAATGTAAATTTACATGCATATAATTATATTAGAAATAGTTAAAAATCAAACTGAATTCAATAAAACTTCAAAATAACCAAAGTGATTTTTAGTCCTATATAACTGGTTGATGAACAAGAAATGATATTACTCTTCATTTTTCTTACCTCTTGGGATCACTACTGATTTTGATATGGGCCAAAAAACTAGTGTGGCACATTCATGTTAGATCCTTGACTCATTTGATTATCACCATCAATTGTTCTTATACTTGAAACTATTGAAACCTGCAATGAAATATGATATCTGAATCACAAACGAAGTATGATTGAAATACAACAAATTTCATAAAAATGGTTCAAAACTTACATGTAACACCCCTGCCATAGTTGAAATTCCCATATTAGGTGTGTTAGTATTTATAGCATGTGATGGATATATGGTTAAGAGTTTATTAAGATCAAGAAAATGGCTCATGTTTACATCAATACCATGTAATCCCTATTAAATAAGATTGTAAGAAAAAAATAAATAACTAAAATGTAACAAAACCATGAGAAAATAGCATAAAAAGAGCATGATATAATACCAAAACATGTTGAGATGATTGTTTAGCTTCCATAGTTGTTGTAGATGTGATTTGTGAATGAGGTTAAGATGAAAGTTAACCTTTCATGGCTACAGTAGTTGGGATTTGTGGTTGGGTTTGAGAGTTTTTCTTACTTTTCTTTCTTTTCTCAAAAGGTTGCTTGATTTTACCACCACCACCACTCCCACTAGTTTTACCATCCTTATTCTTCCTTGCAACTCCTTTCACCCTATTTATTTTGCATACATACATACATACATACATACATACATACATACATACATACATATATATATATATATATATATATTTTTGTATACATATTTGCATAAATACATATATACGTATAATTTGAGTGAATTCATTGACCAGCCCAGGCCCAAGCCCAACTAGAGTGCACCAAATTACAATTTGGGCTCAGCTCGGATTGGGAATATCGGGCTTGACCTTGGGCTCGGGCCTTAAATTTTAGGGTCGGGTTTGGGTTGACCATAAACCCAACCCAACCTGCCCAACTTGCACCCCTACATTGCGCTAAATGGATTTAGAAGTAGGTTTCCCTTGTCATACCATAAAAGGATATTTTAGGAATTTTCAAAAATATATCATTTAGAAAAGAGAAAATTCCCAATTAGTACCTTGTACTTTGGCTCGAGTAACAATTTGGTCCCCAAACTTTAAAATACGATAATCCAGTACCCAAACTTTTGAAATGCAACAATCTGCTACCTACCGTTAACCAATTGTTTAAGTGGCATGTGAATTTTCAAGTATCATTTAATTTTCTTTATCAACCATCCGCTAAAATCAAAACCAATCATCAATTTTTTCATCCCTTTTAATTTTTCCCTCTAAGAGATAATCAACGAAATAACAAACAGAATAAGAATGAAGCTTAAAAGTTAAAGTTAATGGGAGAGGAAGAAGCGACGAATTACTACAATGACAACAACCACCCAATCCATGTGTCATGTTACAGAAGGAAGTAAAAGCAAAAATGGGGAAATAAAGTTGGCTCCAGAAGGGTTTCAACTTTCAAGCAGACTGTACAGAGTCCAATTGTGCCTTTCACTTCATAACTTTTTATGAAATTTGATCTTTTCTTATCAGAAAAAACAAAAGGCCATGTACATGCTAAGTACAATCTATAAAAACTGCTGAGAAAAAAAGCTAATGATATAGTTCTCTCCATCATTAGAGTTAGAGATGAACTCTTCCCAAGTTTTAAGCTTGGAAGTCATCCAGTGAAGTTAAAAAAAGCAAGTCAGCTAATGAAACCCAGTTGAGATGGTTGAATTCATAAAAAAAATGGTTTGGCATTTTAGCACAAAATAGAGTAATTAAGGGAAGATAATGATAGAGACACACAGATACAAAGGGAGATACATTGCAGAGCAGAGCTCTATGAAGAAATCAAGCACAGTTGCTTCTTGCTTGCTACAACTGAACATTGCAAAAGAGGAGAGAATATTTTGGGGCAGCAGCAAATGTTGCATATGACATACTGATCACTTGGACTTTGCGTGAATGGATGAGACACTACATGAGGTTGACGCTTTTCACGCACATTGAAGCTATTGTCCATTGACAATCAAGGTGAGGGACAATTGACATCGTCCTTAAGCACTAACGGAGAACAATAAAATGTCAAATTTATCCTTCACTATTCTTCAAATTTTCAAAATAAAACCCATTTGATCTCTGATTTTAGTGCACAGAAACCATTAAAACTTGTCTCAAATTTTCACTCAAATTTTCCCTCATAGTCTCTTTTAATCTCCACCACCCCCTGTTCTTTTTCCACAATCATTGTTGAAATTAAACCAAAGCAGTCACCAATCCCCACCATTACAGCAAAAGCAGCAGTTGCTGGAGAGAACAAAGATGATGGCATCAATGGGGTGTTTGACAAAAGTCCCAATTCTTTTCGTGTCTTGAGAACCACATAGTGGAATAGGGCCTCGGGTCGAAAGGTTAGATGGATAATGTCCTCTCCGTAATCTTGAATGAGAAGTCCCATGGCATTCTTGGGAAGACAATCCTTGTGGCTTCATAGGCGTCCATTAGTGCCCAACCCCTAAACCTTTTTCCAACAACAGTTTCGAATTTGTTGCAATAGTAGTTACTAGTTAGTTGTCTCCAATGCCACCGTTTTAGAAAAATCTCATGTCTTCATTGCCATCCCCTCCTTGTTCGCTCTCTGTTTTAATGCCAGTGAAATCTCGACCTAATTGTTTTTGAACCACCACTTGCACATCCATTTGATCAACATAACAAAATTCTCATTCTAAACATCAACTAGCAAGGACACAACCAATTACAAACCGGTTATTAAACGAAACAAACATAAATGACTATCGTAGTGAGATGAATGGATGGTGTAGTAGTAATGGAGCTTACCTATCAGGATTTCAGCCTTAGACGATGCAACAAATTAAAGGATTTCGATCACTCTTCATTTTGGATCACTTGAGAGGAATGAGCTTCCAGGTGTGAGTTGATGACGACTTCGAATAGTGGTGGCTACCGTCAGTTGTACTTGACCAACAAAGAACTCAAAGAACAAGGAGAGGGTCTGCATTTGGTTGGGGATCAAAGAACGATGAAAGAAAAGAGAGATAGAGAGGGGGAGGAGAGGGAGACGGAAATTGGAATGGAAGTCGGAGATGGAGAAAGAGGTAGAGATAGAGTCGGAGTTGGAGACAGAGACAGAGACGGAGCCGGAATCGGAGTTAGAGATGGAGATTGACATTGAGATAGAGTGGAATCATAAAAGGGTACTTTAGGAATTTAAAAAAATGTATGAGTCACGTGATATCACATATAAACGGAGTGTGATAGAAAGTTAACCACAAGGGAGGTTTTTGACAATTATGAGAAAACTTAAGGATACTTTAAGGTTATATGTAAATAGTAAAGATAGAGTATGTCAATTTCCCAAACCATGGGGTACTTTAAAAAATTTGCCCATTTTTTTTTTCTTTCGATCGAAGAAGAAGATTAACAATATTTTATTTTCAAAGATAATTTTAATATTTTTAAAATTCATAAATTCCACACATGATATTTATAACTCAGGGTTCATTAATGACTAATAATAAATTGTTACATTCCGAAAATTCAAATACTAGATTATCGCATTTTAAATTCGGATAATAGATTATCGCATTTTAAAGTTCGAAACCAAATTATCACTCAAATTTCAATAAATTTGAAAAAAAAATGCCTCGTACCGATAATTAATGATTCTTACAATTTCGTTTTCTTTCTATGCGCAGTACTGAAATATGTCTTTAGTCTCTTGGCCATCTTTCCAAATTCCAACCAGCCGTCCGTTTCAATTCAGTAAAGCGCCTCTTCAGATTTTCATAGCCATTTTCTAATGGAAGCTGAAAAGAACGAGAGAGCGGACTCCATGGTCGAAAAAGACGACGACGACCCACCAATGCTGAGCTCTCATGCTCTTGAAGCCCTGAAAGAGTTTCTGAACGAACAGCATCGGAACCTTGTCGATGGAGTCGAAGCAAACGGAAGCCCCGAAGTTGCTCTAGTGGCGGAGGATTGGAGGCTAAGTCAGTTCTGGTATGACAGAGTTACCGCAGAGACCGTCGCCGAGGAGATTCGGAACCTCAGCATCTCAACAGCTTCGCCGGTGGCTTGCATAGCTTGTCCAACCCTCTACGCGTATCTCAAGGTATTGAAGATTAAAATGCTTCTTGTTCGCTTACCCTTCTGAAATTTTGGAAAATGATTAGCCTTAATCTCCTAAACATAGATTTTTTATGTATTTGTTTACAAATCTCATCTTTGCCCATCAACGGAGAAGCTTCCTCGTTTCCTGTTCATTTCGTTTTCCAATCAAGATTCAAGACAAACGTGCACCGATGCTTTAATTCTGTATTGTTGAAAGTAAATACAAGGGAAGGAGAGAGGGACTGCAAACGTATTTATAGTTATAAAACTCAGACTTGGAAAGCAGTTGGTTAGTTAATTGGCTAACAGCTACTTGGGTTTTCTGTGGTTGGATATGATTCAATGAAGAAGAAAGTGGCATCGTTTAATAGAAAGCCATTTGGGTTTAGAAGGGTTGGATACTGACTCAAATGCTAAAGGATGAATTGCGGACAGATATAATTGTGTTCTGCAATTTCTTGAATGTAGTAAATTTCTTTTCCATTATCAATCAATTTACATCTTAGTTGTCAAAGTCTATTGGTTTTGTGTTTGCATGTCTTAGTGACTTTCAACTAATTGGCCAACAAGATGATGAAGACTCATGTGGTCCACTTTTGATATCCATTGGTTCTTTTGAATTTGTTTGCCTACGAACTCAGGTTTCTTGCTTCATGTAAATTGCAAGTCCATCAGTGTTGATCATTTGCTGAAACGAAGAGAATTCCAGCAGAATCTCACTTTATCCATCTGGAGATAGGAAAGGTCTTGATGTCTTTTTTACCGTTTGGAGTTTTACTTGTAGTTACAGTACATGTACGTTGAACTTGTAAAGCATCATTTATCTCAAGGGAATTAATGAAGAATAAGAAAGCAACTAAATATAAAGAATGAAGATTTAAGTGCTGGATTGAAGCACGATGATTGAACCAAGGAGGGAGATCCAAATCGATTTCAATCAAGTTGGAAAGCTTGATAAGAGGTTGGAGATTCTGAATGCAAAGCTTAATCAGAAGGTTCGTCAGATTGGATTTGGAGAAGGACGTTGAAGCCTGGTCCTCTTTTGAGTGGGGTAAAGAGAAAGTTTTGGGTGTTAGAAGGTTAAATGGAGGACAGTTTCTATTTATGTTCATGGAAGAGAGGAGGTGGAGTGGGTGCTGGAACACGGAGGCAAGATGAAGAGGAGTTGCGATTTACGCTTAAGCTGGTGGTTTCCTGTGGCAGGACATATTCATGAAGGTAAAAGGAGGAGGACAATGTGGATTGGAGTCCTAGAAATCCCCCTGTACGCGTGGAGTGTCGAATCGTTCAAAATGATTGGAGATGCCTGCGGTAAGTTCTTGAACGCCGATGAAAGGAATAGAACTTGGGAGAAAATTGATGTTGCGAGAATTCTGGTGGAGGTCGATGCAGCCTTTGTTATCCCAAGCTCCTTGTCTCTAGCTTTTGCAGGTGAGAAGTACGATCTGAAGATTTTCATTGAGGGGGAAGACAAAATGTTCCTTAGAGCACATACTGAAAAGAAAGTAGAAGGAAGGGTGAGGAGACTGAGTTGGGTTTGGAGTTGCAGGTCGGTGGCTTTGGTGAAGAGGGGGGGGGGATGGAGGGCTGTTCGAATGAGGGAGATGATGGGGGGGGGAGTCAAGGGGTGGCACACTAGTAATTTCATGTGGAGGTAAGACATTGGAACATTGGAAGGGTGACACATGGATGGTTTTGGTAAGGAGAATGTGGAAAGGTGCGACTTAGAGGGTGGGATGTTAAGCGAGATTCCCGAAGGGTCCCGGTATTTGATCGAAGCCTTGGTTTGTGGGAGTGGGGACCACCTTCTAAGATCGAGGTTTAAGAGTGGCAGTAATAGGAGGTCCAAACAAAACAAAACAAAGGATAAAAATGGTTTAGGTGCCAAGTTTAAGCAGTTTAAGAGGAGAAAGAGAAGGAGAAATTCTCACAAGCTTTGCTTCGGCAAGACAGAGGAATGGATTTGGGTCATCACCAAATTCAATAGAGATGGAAGCAAAAGTGTGAGCTTGAAAGAAGGGAGCTGAGTTAGTGTGGATGAGCTTCACTGACTTGAGGTTGTTGGTGGTAAGCTCGCTCACGGGAAGAAGAGTGCTGGGAGTTCAGAGGAGCAGAAAATTCTTAATCTTCTGTTGGGCAAGTCTATCTGTTTTGGTACTTTTGAAGTTGAGATTCCTGTTTATTTATCAAAAAAAAGTTGAGATCCCTGTTGCTCTGCCTCAGGAGTGGCGACTGGTTTCATCTAATAAGGCAGTTGTTAGGTGTGAGGGAGATAGAGGAGGAAAGGAGGCTGGTTTAAAGGAAGGAGAGGAGGAAGGTGTATGGGAGGAAGAAAGTACACAGAAGGGGAGGAGAGAAGGAGAGGATCTTGATGAAGGTGAAATTAAGAACTTAGAACAAAAAAGTCACGTTGAGGATGCAGGCACAGAAAAAGAAAGTGGTTCTTCAGAAGATCTTGAAGGATTTAAGTTTCAAAGTCCCAGTTGGAAGACTTGGGGTTGATTTAGGCCGAAGAAGAACTTCTGATGTCAAGGTTAGAGACGATGTTGCTCCAAAGATTTTAAGGAAAGGAAAAGATGAAAGCAGGTTTCACCTTGGTCATGTCTCTAAAGATTTCTCTCGACTAAAAGATGGGATGGTCGGTGCTGGTCCCACTAACAAATTTAAGAAAGTCTATAAGCGGAGAGATTCAAAGGGTAAAGCTTTGAAGACAAAGAGTTCTGAGCTTCAGGGAGTTAAAGGCCATGATCTAGAGCTGCAGAGGACGTTAGCTTCTGAGGAGGTTTTGGAACCCGGGTCAGAGATGGTGGATAAGGTGGAAAAGGGCGACCAAGATAGTGGGAAAAATTCACATGCGTCTTCTTCAACCATTATAGGTGAGAAGGGGAGAAAAGTGGAGATGAAATGTCTGGTTGACAGAGAGGTTCAGGTGGGTAAGTGCTTAGGTCTGTTTTTTTGGGGAGAGGAGTTTGCTAGAAGGGCTTTCGAAGTTTTTGAAAAAGAAAAGAGGGTTGAAAGCCAAGGAAGATCGTGGATGGGGAAGGAGGAGATGCATGGAATGAGGAAGGCGGACAAGATGATTTCCTTGAAGAAGACTATTAATTTGCTGTTTTTTGGGACTGTCTGCTAGACCCTCTTGTTTTTTGAGCTCTTGTTTTAGTTTCTTCTGTATGTTGGGGGGTGTTATCTTAACACCCGGGAGATGCTTGTATTTGGACTGCTTTTGTTTTTTAGTTCTAATAAAATTTTATTCTCTCTTCAAAAAAAAGAAAAAAAAGAATGAATAAAGAACACAGTTTAGGTTTTGATATCTGATTTGTTTTATATATTAGCATTTGGAGGGTGCTTAGGTTTGTATTAAAAACTTTTGTCCTTTCAAAAGGACCTGGAATTGAATCTACCAGGGTAGAATTATTTGAAAGATAATGGGGGGAACATTGTTAGATCAGAAGATGTGTGTGAGCTTGAGGACTATGAACACATTGGCATCTGTATCATAGAATTTCTCCACTCCTGAACTCCTTGTTGTTATCTACTCTCTTTGAGGGAGAAACTCTGGAGGACTCTGACGAAGCCAAGTTTAGGATTATCTAAAAGTTTACTTTGCAGAGTATTAAGGTTAGAAACTCATTGGCCTGTTGATGTGGAATTTCTCATGAAGAAATATGGTTAATGGTGGGATAAAACTTTGTTAATTGTAATGCTATGTGGCAATAGATTCCCTACTACATAAATTATAGGTAAAGAGTTTATTAGAGAGTCTATAGGAAAATCAATTATTTTAAGAAAACTATGGTGGAATGACTGCTAAAGAACTGATAGAAAATGACTGCTAATCATAAATATTGGCCTAAACTAAGCTTCAAATGTGCATCAACCTTTTTACTGTAAAATGGATATAAAGAAGATGAACAAAATATACTGAAGTAGAGGAATTGGAGAAAAGAAAAACAGATGTTTTGTTTATGTATTTGACTCATCAAAGCGATTATTAAAGAGTGAAGATGGGTATAAGGCTGTGTTTTGTAAGAGTGAAAATGCAGAACCGAGTTTTTTTTTCATTCAAAATAGGAGTAAAGTTTGCTTCCAATAAACTTTTGCACTCAAAGTTGGTCAATATAAAAAAGGTAGATTCCAGTCTTGAAATTTGTGTTTGTACCCATCACAACCAAACACAATACAAAATTTATCAATAAAAAACCAAACCAAGTTTGCATTCTCACTTTTTGACCAAATTTGCATTTATGTTGATAGATATTCTTTTAATCTTTTTGCAATCTTACCAAACATAACCTAAATATCAAGGAGGTTGAGTAATTATTTTCGGAAATCATCAAATGAAACCTTTGTGGTAACTCAGGTTTAAGCGAAATTCATGGTTCAATAGAAATTATAGATCATGTCTTCATTACCCTACATCACTTCCTCGCTGCTAGTGCTTATGTCCCTGGTATTTAGAATCACATTTTTCCTCTTAATTGGTGCCTGGTGGGTAGGGGGCCTTTGGTTGATACCATAATAAAATCTTGGGCTGGCAATCATGAGAACGAAGTTTTGAGTCTGAGGGCCCTCAATTTCTAGTAAAAATGCCAAAGGATAGGTTATCCAATCTAGCCTATCAAGACTCTAGATAGGTGGAACTAGCACTTGGCAACAGCCTTTTTGTTTGGTGTTTGTGTGGCAGATTCTTGTAGATTTACTGAGAATTTTTTAGCCTAGCTTTTTCTTTCCTACAAGATGGGGTAAATCACCACTAGTGCTTATGTCCCTGATATTTAGAATCACGTTTTTCCTCTTAATTGGTGCCTGGTGGGTAGGGGGCCTTTGGTTGATACCATAATAAAATCTTGGGCTGACAATCATGAGAATGAAGTTTTGAGTCTGAGGGCCCTCAATTTCTAGTTAAAATGCCAAAGGATAGGTTATCCAATCTAGCCTATCAAGACTCTGGGTAGGTGGAACTAGCACTTGGCAACAACCTTTTTGTTTGGTGCTTGTGTG